AAAGAGAAAATATTCCCTACTTCTAATTAAGTAAAGTAAGGTTGAAATACCTATCACAATTTTCAACCCAATCCTTTTGCTTTCTAGTTTATGAAAATTTCTCATAGATACTTGCAATACTTTAATTGTCAGTTCTGGTTTACAGTGTTCTGACTTTTGTGATCTTCCTGTGCCTTCACAGATATGTTTGTGAAGAGTTGAGCCCAGCTGGATCATGGGCTGCAAACCACATGCCATTTTACACCAGAAACCTCTGTTTTCTCTCTGGACCTGCTTAAAATTACTCTCATCTTCTGATTTCCTGGATTTCTGGCACTTTAGCTCAATTTCTACATCGCTTGTAACCCACTTGGTTTGGTGAACATCTCCTTCCAAGCTTTCTGGACTTGGTTACTCACACTCTGGGATCTTCTCACTTCTCTGGTTTTGGTGATATCTATCCCATCCCCTAACCTGCTACCATTCCCCTTTTGTACTGAAACAACTACCAGATGGGGTCTGTCACCCAGAACTACAGCCAAGTGAAGAGTGGCAATAATTATTTTGTAATACCAAAGCCCATGTGGAATCCTTGAATCAGGTGAGCTTGTCTTTCTAGGGTATGAGTATTGTATCATTATTTTTTATTTATTACTGTTTTTGTGTAGTTTTTGACCTTTTGCCATTAAAGACAATTTTTCCATGATGTGCAGTAAATAGAAAATAAGTTATTTAGGCAGGAGCCTTGGGTTGCCAAATAATGTTTAGAAAAAAATACAAGATAATTACATGAGATGATAACATGAAGAGCTAAAGCAAGACTGTGAAGTATAATGTCACTAAAGATTATTGAGTTAAGATCTGAAACTTTTATGTTTACTGTGCTATTATAAACATAAACTAATGAAGCTAAACTGATTCAGAGGTTAAATATTATCCAAGTCATGCTTAATATTAATCCCCATCTTTTAAAAATATTTTTGAAGTCAGAGATGGGAAGAAACAAAAACTTTGACATGTTTAGTGTTCTTGCCCAAGCCTTTAAGAAGTTTACAAGTGGGCAAATGTTTATAATTTTGAAATCACTAGAAATGACTTCATAATGGGTCTTAAAATGTACCAGGTAAATATTATTCCAAGAGGCCAATTATCTAGTTATTAAAATGAAGCGTAGTAAGTTAGCTGCCATTATTGGCAGCTGCAAGAATAACAGACATGATTTGGAGACCTTAAATAATTCCTCATATATTCAGTAGAAGTAATAAGATCAACAGTGAGATGCCATCTCACATCAGTCAGAATGACTATTATTAATAAAAGTCAAAAAATAACAATCACAAAGTTGCAGAGAAAATGGAACACTTATGCACTGTTGGTGGCAGTGTAAATGAGTTCAACCATTTTGGAAAGCAGTGTGGCACTTCCTCAAAGAGCTAAAAACAAAACTACCCTCCACCCAGCAATCCTATTACTGAGTATATACTAGAGGAAAATAAATCATTTTACCATAAAGACACATGTACACTTAGGTTCACTGCAGCACTGTTCACAATAGCAAGAACATGGACTGAACCTAAATGCTCATCAAAGACAGGTTAGATAAAGAAAATGTGGTATATATACCCCATAGAATACTATGCAGCCATAAAAAAGAATGATATCATTTTGAGAGAACATGGACGGAGCTAAAGGCTATTATCCTTAGAAAACTAATACAAGAACAGAAAACCAAATACTGCATGTTCTCACTTATAAGCGGGACCTAAATGATGAGAACTCATGAATGCAAAGAAGGGGACAACACACAAAGGTCTAGTTAGGGTGAAAGGTGAGAGGAGGGAAAGGAGCAAAGAAAAATAACTGCTGGGTACTAGGTTAATACCTGGGTGATAAAATAATCTGTATAACAAACCCCCGTGACATGAGTTTTTCTATGTAAGCAAAACTTCATGTGTACCCCTGAACATACAATGAAAGTTAAATAAAAGAACTAAGAAGGTCAGCTTCATGAACAATGATATAGGTATCTTTAAGATGAATATTCTAGTAATGTGTTTTTTACCATGTTTATTTCCTGTCTCTCTAACTCTTTAAACTTTTATTGTCCTACAGTTTAAACATCTGCATTGTTTATATATTCTGTATAAATATCTTTGTTCACCTAATTTCAAAATCCTTTTTAAATTAAAAAGACTTGAGATAAACAAATAGCATATTTTAAAGTAGTTTAATTTGTTTTTTAATGACATATACGTTTTCTCTTTGTGAAGGGATTGATGTTTTTATTTCTTTTTTCTTTAAACAACTCCTTCATGTTCTTTGTAATATGAGATCAGTATGCTTAAAGATATTGCCTTTGAATCTAAAGTCCTAATTTGGTAGAAAAGATTTTCCCTTTATATTTCTAGTACTCAATTTTTAAAAATTGATTTTGTATGCTACTGGGCAGCACATTTAATTCAACTTATACTACAAATTAACAAAAATGATGGTTTTTTTTTTTTTTTAAATAACAATGTTTTTTTCTTTATCCCTATAGTCTATATGTCAGAATATACATTGCCCACATTGCCCAAGAGTAGAAAGACATAAGAGAAAAGACATTTAAAAATGTCAAGGAAGTTAATAGAAGGTTTGTGCGTTTTTTTCCTTTTAGAATTTTAAATCCTTAATAGTTTTAAAACCATTTGGAATGTTCCTGTGTTTAAATTCGAGCAATGCAAATAGTAACTAAGGTTTGTTTAGTTAGTGAAATATCATCCAATGTGCATTTACTGTACTGTTTGGCTTTTGTTATTATACTTTGAATCCTAAGTCCTAAGAAACAATTTCGCAAATGACTCGAAATAAGTAAATACATATATATTTACTTAAAATCTGTTAATGATGATGGATCATTGAAATCAACTGTCTAAAAAAGGTGTACATATTAATAATTCTGAAGACTGTGACCTAAACATGAGTACTTTTTGAAAGAGATCAAATTTCAAGTAAAATAATATTTTTTAGTAACCTCTGAACTGTTGATAAATTCTTCAACCAAGGGAAAGTTGCTTCCTGTCATCAAACTTTGAGGTAATCATGATGGTCATAACTGGAAGCCAAGCTACGAAAAACAGTTAAAAGTATCTATTATGAACTGAATGTTGATGTCCCCCCAATCAGCAATGTGATGGTATTTGGAGGTGGAAGCTTCAGAAAGTAATTAATGCCCGTGTACGAAGAGGCCAGAGAGCTTCATTGCCGCCTTTCTGCCATGTGAGGAGCCAAGAAGTCAGCTGTCTTCAACCTACAAGAGGACCCTCACTAGAACCTAACCATACTGGCACCCTTATCTTGGCTTTCCAACCTCCAAAACTGTGAGAAATATATATTTGTGGTTTAGTTAATGGTCTGTGGTAATTTGTTATAGCAGTTCAAACCAAGACAGTGCCTCATTTACTAAATATCATTTATAGTATTATACAGGCTACTTTCAGAAACACATATTCAAATAAAAGATAATATACAGAAACACATAACGCTATCACTATTTCTTAGTATGTAAATATTAAGAAATAGTTTGTTATTAAACTATTTCATCCAAGAAATGCAGACTCATGTTGTTTCTAATTTTTTTGTATATATAATTGACAAAATGAAGAAATCCAATGCCATCCTAGATTTTAGCTGCCCAGAGAATGAAAAAAATTCTTTGAAAACCCATGGGTGATATGGATCTAATTTAAGGTTAAATATATATATATATATATATAAACAGAATATACCTTTTAAAAACTGGTAAAATGCCATTGGTTCTAATTATAATGGTTACTTTCATTTACATTCAAAAACAAGGCATTTGTGTTGTATCTCTAACCATCACAACTTTTGTGTGACAGAAAGAAATTATCACCAAAATACAGCTCCTTAAGTAAGTGTCTGATTTCACACTTCCAGAAAATGTGCTCTTTCTGGTCAAGCCAGCAAGAATTGGGAAAGATTAAGAAAGTGTTTCAAAGATGTTTATTAAAAAGTAGTTATAAAAATGTGAAGTAGATGTAGCATCAAGCATGCCAAATAAAGTAAAACTGTCATCAAGAAGCTTCAACAGCTCTGAAAAGAGTTCTTCAAAATATGTTATGTTTTTCTAGATGATAACAAAATTTATCAGTTCCAAATGTCCACATTAGTCTTTCATAAAGACACGAATGAGTCACAGGAAAAAAATTAAAAATAAAAAATACCCTATCTCAGGGAATTATGCTGACAACCTGATGTGTTTTCTTCCACACATTTATGTCTACTCAGAAATATTTACAAACATATACGCATATATGTATTTTAACTTTTTCTCTTGCTGCACTTGAATTTTTCTCATAACAAAACAATAACTCTTCAATTTGCTTTTTTAGGTGGACTCTGTGCCCCTGACAACCATTCAGTTCAACTTGATGATTAACACATTTGTTTTAATAGCTACATAATATTCTGTAAGTATGATTTATTCAGTTGTGTGTGTGTGAGAGAGAGAAAGAGAAAGAGAAAGAGAGACAAAGGAAGATATTCAAGGATTCTGTCCACTACAACATTTTGCCACAGTTAACAATGCAGAAATAAAAATACTTGAGGGCTGGGTGCAGTGGTGCATGCCTATCATCCCAGCACTTTGAGAGGCTGAGGCAGGTGGATCACCTGACGTCAGGAGTTTGAGACCAGCCTGACCAACATGGAGAAACCCCGTGTCTACTAAAATTACAAAAAATTAGCCGGGCATGGTGGTGCATGCTTGTAATCCCAGCTACTCAGGTGGCTAAGACAGGAGAATTGCTTGAATCTAGGAGGTGGAGGCTGCAGTGAGTGGCAATGGCGCCATTGCACTCCAGCCTGGGCAACAAGAGCAAAACTCTGTCTCAAAAAAAAAAAAAAAAACCAAACTTGAACACATATTTTTATGATTTTATTTTTATGGAATGGATTGTCAAAAGTGTGTTTGTAAGGTTAAAGAATAGATGTGTTGTTACTTTCTTTTTTTTTTTTTTTATGAAACAAAGTATTTTATTCAAGTTCCCAAAACAAACTTGAGGAGTTATGCTGGGTTTGAATTGAAGAAAAAAGGCCAAGTTAAAATAGGAAAACAAATAGTTTTCATTTGGTGGGAGTTGAAATCAAGTTATACATGTGTATACATTCTAATCCATCACCTGTCCCATGTGGCATTTTCCAAGGTTTTAAGAGTCTACCAGGCCAAACCCTTTGCCACTTTCACTGTTTTTGCTTTACTTTTCCCCTTTCTTCTCTCTCGCTTTGCCTTCAGCTTTTTTCTTTGCCTTTGGTTCATCCATATTGGGTACTGCCCATTCTGGTCTAGAAGAGTCTTTTTGTTTCTCTTAATATCAGTCTCCATTTTCATGTCATCTTTTTCATCTTTTACCTCACATTGCATTTTCTCTTGGCAATGTTTGGGTTTGTGTACCACCACAGTTACTATCTCTTGAACATCTTTCATTAAAACATCACCGTCTAGTTTGAGAATACTTTTAAGCCTGCTGAGCTCCTTTGGGGCATTCTTTTTTCTCTTTTCAGCGCGCATTTTTCTTTTCCACTTGCTCCGTAAGCTTTTAGCCATGTTTTACCTGAGAAACAAACGCACACGCCACAGGATCTCGTCGACCGGAAGTTTCGATGTGTTGTTACTTTCAATAAATATCAAGTGAGTGTTGTTACTTTCAATAAATATCAAGTGATTATCTCATACTACCGAAATTATAATTTCTTCTTGAACCATTTAGTTAACATCCTTCTATCAGTGAGGCTAAGAAATATTTTATGCTTACTGACTTTTTGACATATTTCTTTCATGAATGATTGCCATTTTCTGTTGTCTAATTTCCTGTTAAGCTCTATGATTAGCTTATTAGGCTTTGTGGTTTATATGCATCAGAAAGAGTAAAACTCAATTTTGTGTGAAACAAATACTTACCCTGGTGTAGTATATTTCATTTGAATTTGTTTCTAGAGATATTTACCATAGAAAAGTTAATTTTTATTACTAAAGTATGCTTTTTATTTCCTTTGTGGCTTCTAAGTACCCTTTTTTGCTTATTATACCTTTATTCATAAAATCTTTAAATATTAGAAAAATTACATATTCTTTTAAATTCTTTAAAGATTTTATTCATTTAGATTTTAATCCACTTTTAATTTTTTAGTTGAAAGACAAAAGCACATAAATCATTAACACAAATTGAACTAACCAAGGTAACAATCAATCCGCTCAAGAAATTGAGCATCAGGAGCACCTTCTCCTGCACTGTCCAAATCACCACCCCAATACTCCAAAGCAAATGTTAGTCACAACCCTGACTTCTAACACAATAGAATTGTTTTGTCTGTTTTCAACTATATAAAAATGAAGTGTAGAATATGTGTTGTTTTGTATCTGGCTCCTTTCACTAAAATTTTTGTTTATAAAATTCATCCATGTTGTTAAACATAGTTGCCAATTGTTCATTTTTATTGTTTTACAGCATTTATTGTATGACTAAAACACTACTTATTTATTCTATTATTGATACATTTTGGGTTGTTTTTGCTTTGGGAGAATAAACATTTTTATATCTATTTATGTGTTCATGAATTTACGCTGAATAACTGCTTGAGTGTGAAATTGATGAGATATATAGTAGTCAAATATAGAAGACAATACAAAACAATTTTAAAGTGATTGTAGCAGTGCATTCTACAGAAGCAGCATGTGAGACTACCAGTTGCTCAAATCGTTGCCAATACTCGGTGTTATTTATCTTTTAATTTTAGACATTCTGGAGAATGTGTAGTAATTTTTCATCTTGGAAAATTACATTAAATTAGTGTATAATAAATAGCATCCATTTTTCTAATTTTGATAACTTTTTCATAAGTTTATTTGTTATCAGATATTTTCTTTATTTTGAAGTGCTTATTGTCCATTTTACATTGGGTCATCTGTTACTGAATTGTAAACATTCCTTGAATATTTAAATATGAGCTCTTGGTCAGTTTATGTCACAAATATCCTCTTTTTTCAATTTTTGCCTTTTTATTATTCTGAAAATGCCAATTGATTAAAATTTATTTTACTATCGTTCAATACATCATGCTTTGTTTTTTCACAGTTTGTTTTGTTTCCTGTTTAAGAAACAAAACATTCATTCCTTCTCTCATTTGGCATTCATTTGGCTTGGCAAAATTGGCATTGTTTTTTTTCTTTTTAACCTATAACTTTTCCTCTTTGGTGATATACCCATGGTAGGGGTAAGGGAGGGACCCATAACCAATTCAAGATTGCAATTTTGTTAGGAGTTAGAAACATGCATTTGTTTAGGAATATCACTCCTCCCGCTCTCACATTTTTGAAGCAATTTTATTTGAATTCTTTCTATGCATCTTTGACATCATTATATTTTTTGCCACTAGCTCTACTTGACGAGTCACTGAGTGCTTTTTCCTAATGTACTTAAATTCACATGGCCTAAGTTGTTTAAGGTGCGGCACCTTTTGAATCCACAGCTGATGGTCCCTAGCATTTCCTCACACAGTTAAATCTCACTCATACGGCATGGCAGAGTTTTTTCTCATTTGTTCTAAAAAGATGTTTTTGATGATCTCTAAAATGTAACCAGTATATTTTTAATCTAATTCTAAACATTTGTGTTTCTCATTAAATACAAAACCTATAAATAGAAAATAATTTGCCCAGGAATAATTACCAAATCTTTGTTCAATTTATTTGCTATCTCCATTAGTCAACCCTGTCTGAAGGCTATCATTTAAGGCTCATGTGTCCTCTACAACTAGATCATTATTGAGTAAAACATACTGAGAGCATGACACATAAATGTGAGAGACTGAAGTAACTCAAATATACAATGTTTCATGTATGAGAGATGATCATATAGAACAAAAAACATCACACCTTCCTTACATGCAGGCATTTGTCTTTACTATTCAATTTTATACCCAATAATTCTGAAATAATTTAAGCATTTAGGTTATAAAGCTTCTCATAAGTGCAGCCTTTGTATATCTTATAGTAAATTTTATTTTTAGTTTCTCTTTAATGCAGGTGTTACTCATTACTGTTTCTTAATTTCCAATATGTTACATTTTATTTTTGATTTCTGGTTTTATTAGGTTGTCATTAGTAAATGTGCAGGTGTTTTCTGCCAGAAAAATAAAAAGAAAAAAAATGATGAATTGGGAAGTCTTTCTCCTATGAACCCTTACCCTTGTTGATAGAAACTCTTGTTGAAGAAGTTTCTATTCTCCAAGGTCTTCCTGCATGCCAAATGCATCTCTTCCAACTGCAGGAGCTGGGAACAATTCAGGCCAGTGGAGCAGTGACCCTCTAGTTCTAACAGCACTGGCATGAACAAACAATGCTACAGAAAGCATTGGTCAGCCCCTTTCCAAAGGATTCTGCAACTTGAAGCATTCAAATAAGATTTTTGCCCAGCGTCTGGGAAAACTAATCCTTATCCACCAAAAATGTCTTGGCTTTTGCTTGGTACCAAACAGAGCAAAGCCCTGTAGCTGCCCTCTCAATCGCAGATCTCTGAATTCTAGCCTTATACACACCCTCCAGGTGAGGTCAGCACACCACTCTCAGTATTAGATTACTTCCCAAAGAGACAGAGAAGGACCATGGCACCTAGGGGCGTGGCCAACATGCCATACTCTCAGGATTTCTGACAGCCTAGTCTGAATTGACTATTTTAACACTATTCTTTTTTTTAAATATAATATATATACTTTAAGTTCTGGGGGTACATGTGCAGAATGTGCAGGTTTGTTACATAGCCATACATGTGTCATGGTGGTTTGCTGCATCCATCACCCCATCATCTACATTAGATATTTCTCCTAATGCTATCCCTCCCCTTTTCCCCCCACCCCTGCTATCCCTCCTCTAACCCCTCTCCCGCCAACAGGCCCCAGTGTGTGATGTTCTCCTCCCTGTGTCCATGTGTTCTCATTTTTCAACACCCACTTATGAGTGAGAACATGTAGTGTTTGGTTTTATTCAACACCATTCTTAAACATAGCTAAAATGATTGCATTCATTGCCTTTGGTACAGTCCTAAATGGATGTTACAAGTGTGATTTTTAAGATATTAATAGGTGACAAACGAATACAGATGAATAAATATTTGGAAAATGCTTGGTGATATGGTTTGGCTCTGTGTTCCCATGGAAATCTCGTCTCAAACTCTAATCTCCATAATCTTCAGGTGTTGAGGGAGGGACCTGGTGGGAGGTGATTGAATCATGGGGGTGGTTTCCCCCATGCCGCTGTCATGATAGCACGTGAGTCGTCATGAGATCTGATGGTTTTATAAGTGTTTGACAGTTCCTCTTTCACACGCACTCTCTCTCACCTACCACCACGTAAGACATGCCTGCTTCCCCTTCCATCATGACTATCAGTTTCCTGAGGTCTCCCCAGCCACGTGGAACTGTGAGTCAATTAAAACTCTTTCCTTTATAAATTACCCAGTGTCCGGTAGTATCTTTACAGCAATGTGAAAATGGACTAATACATTTGGCTAAACAGAAAAGTTTCTTTACTGAAAGATTTTTAAGAGACCTGAATATTTGAATACAACGTTATTACTGTTTGAGGCAGAATTCCTGGTGTTTCTAATTATTTTGAATGAAGAACACTTTTTTGTTGTAGTCGTTATGTCTGTTTTCGATGTTGTCTTAACATCATTTCCAAGTTTATGCTTCTACAAAATATATTTTGGAAAAAGTTGGCCTTAATTTTTGTTTCAAAAATTACTGAATATATCACTATTTTCTTAATTTTCAAGTAAATTATTAAACAATTCTAATTATAATACAATTATTCAGATTTAATTATTATAAAGTAATTTATATATTTAGTAAAAGTAAACAATAAAAAATCATTTTAAAATTTTCACAGTCAAACCATATGTGGCAGATAGAATGAAAAGTTAGTGTCTTTCCAGACCTAATATTCAATTTGATCTCAAAATTATGCACACAATTATGTTTTCTAATTATATCTTTTAAAATATAGATATATAATAGGGCACATATTATAATCATTCTTTTGCCCCATTTAAAAATAATCTTAATTGAACCTCTAGATATCTCTGTATTCGCTGTATACTAAGATTTGTTTCATTTTTAAGACTTGCATTATATTTCATTGTATGAATATATTATTACTTATTTAGCTAGTCCTCTATTTCAAGACTTTTGGATTGCTCTAGCCCTTTGCAATTACAAACAAAGCAGAAGTAAATAAACTTAGAGATATATCAGATGGCAGAAGTTTTTTTTTAGGATAGATTTCTAGTAAGGTAATTGCTGGGTCAAATATCAGGCATATGTTTAATTAAAAATTGTCTTAATCAAGAAATCTTTCCCAGTTTCTGTGTCCAGTATGATATTGCCTAGGTTGTCTTCCAGGGTTTTTATGGTCTGGGATTTTACATTTAAGTCTTTTATCTATCTTGAGTTGATTTTTATATATGGTGTAAGGAAGGAATCCAATTCAATCTTCTGCATATGGCTAGCCAGTTATCCTAGCACCATTTATTGAATAGAGTCTTTCCCCATTGTCTATTTTTATCAGCTTTGCCCAAGATCAGACAGTTACTTGTAGGT